CCCCCCCCCGGGGTCACGCGGGGTCAGTGTGAGCCCATTGTTGACTTCCTGTGTTCAACCATTCTTGTTGTTGTTGTTGTTGTTGCTGTAGTTGTTGCTGTTGTTGTTGTTCTTGTTACCCATCCACGCTCGGCCACTCTTAGCGTTGTTAACATACAACATAATCAACATACAGGATAAAATAACAATTATATGAAATTACGTTGAGATTACAGTACTCACCCTTTGGTACAGTGACGAGGCGGGTACAGTGACGAGGCGGGTACAGTGACGAGGCGGGTACAGTGACGAGGCGGGTACAGTGACGAGGCGGGTAGTGACAGCCTGATGGTGTTGTTGTTTAAGATTCAGCTACTGGGAACAAAAAGTTCCAAGCAGCACGGGCTATGGTGAGCCCGTGATGGACTTGCCTGGCACAGGAGCGGGGCTGTAACTGCAGACACGCCCCGATGGTCCAGTTTTACTTAGATAGAGCTTGTGTAGCGCTCCTTACCTTCACGAGTCCTACTGTTGTACTGACCCCCGCCCCTGCCAGCTCTACCCCCACACTGGTCCCCGCCCCTCCCCACACTGGTCCCCGCCCCTCCCCCACACTGGTCCCCGCCCCTACCCCACACTGGTCCCCGCCCCTCCCCCACACTGGTTCCCGCCCCTCCCCCACACTGGTCCCAGCCCCTCCCCCACACTGGTCCCCGCCCCTACCCCACACTGGTCCCCGCCCCTCCCCCACACTGGTCCCCGCCCCTCCCCCACACTGGTGCCCGCCCCTCCCCCACACTGATCCCCGCCCCTCCCCCACACTGGTCCCCGCCCCTCCCCCACACTGATCCCCGCCCCTCCCCCACACTGGTCCCCGCCCCTCCCCCACACTGGTTCCCGCCCCTCCCCCACACTGGTCCCCGCCCCTCCCCCACACTGGTCCCCGCCCCTCCCCCACACTGGTGCCCGCCCCTCCCCCACACTGGTCCCCGCCCCTCCCCCACACTGGTCCCCGCCCCTCCCCCACACTGGTCCCCGCCCCTCCCCCACACTGGTCCCCACCCCTACCCCACACTGGTCCCCGCCCCTCCCCCACACTGGTCCCCGCCCCTCCCCCACACTGGTCCCCGCCCCTCCCCCACACTGGTCCCCGTCCCTACCCCACACTGGTCCCCGCCCCTCCCCCACACTGGTGCCTCCCCCACACTGGTGCCCGCCCCTCCCCCCTTCCACCAACCCTTCCTCTCCCTCCACAAAAAAGCACTTAAATGTTTACCAATACACAGTAGTAGTTGGTGGTGGGTGAACTAGAGATCCCGCGCGGCTGTTCTGAGGATGTAGTCACATAAAACTTTCCAGCCAGACTAAGCCATTAGTTGATGGTGGGGCTACTACCCCAGTGGGACTACCCCCAGTGGGACTACCCCCAGTGTTGTCCCAGCTCCGTGAGTGGGTCACAGCCTTGGGGTTGCTCGCCTTGACACCAACCCCCACCACCTCAGCCCAGGAAGGTCCTGCCGTCAACTGACGTCACCAGGCCGTTCAAGGGGGTTTTTCTCTCCTAATAATCGGTTCTGAATGTCAGAAATTTCCGTATATATATCAGACAGCGACGTCAGTAGTTACCGATGAGCTGAGTCAACTAATAAGGTCTTCTTGTTGTATGTTACGGTCCTCAACGTACATACTAAACAGTGCTATGAACAGCAGCGGCTCACAACAAAAAATCACGTTTTCTACGCATCAGTTGATTAGGTCAAGTGGGTTGCTTAGGTTCACACCTCTAGGTTAGGACTCTGGAGTTTTCTACGTTGTAGCAAATCAAGAGAACTGCGTTGCTCTAGCTTTAACACAGTTTGGCCTCTCCAGTTGCCCTAACGGAAAGAAAATGGTGTACTAAAAACACCCGAACCTAGGCTAACCTGACCGAGAGACGGATTTGTTATTTCAATCCCCCAACAGTCTAAATTTGATGTTCTAAAAAATAATAGTGATTCGCAAAATGGACGCACTGACATAGCTGCTCCGCGGGGTATAGTCCTGGGGTCCGCTGACATAGCTGCTCCGCGGGGTATAGTCCCGGGGTCCGCTGACCAAGCTGCTCCACGGGGTATAGTCCCGGGGTCCGCTGACCCAGCTGCTCCACGAGGTATAGTCCCGGGGTCCGCTGACCCAGCTGCTCCGCGGGGTATAGTCCCGGGGTCCGCTGACCCACCCGCTCCACGGGGTATAGTCCCGGGGTCAGCAAGTGCCTTGATACAAGTGCTGTGTGGCGCCGTAACGTAGCAGTCCGTCTACTGCGGGAGAGAAACAGTTGGAATTTCTTCATAATGCTTTTGACACACTGTTTACATTTTGTTGTTGTTTTCTGTAACGTTACAGCGCTGCCCCCCTGCTACTGTAGTGGACTGTGTCAGTCTTGTAGTGGACTGACATGATACAGCGGTTAGATCAGTTGCTACATACATGCATGTATAATAAAGCATTTCTGTCCTGGTGGCCCCGTGGAGGATGTTTCGTGGGGAAGGCCAACGCGCTCAGGGAAAAATTTTTTTAGTATTTCAACCACTCAACCAATCAGTTTCATCTGGAAGTTAATAGATAATCAGAGTTTTCTGTCATTGTAAGAACAGTAGAAGGATATCCACAGGTTTGAAGTGGTCATCATGCAGTTAATGCGTTTACACCTGGGTGTAGAATAGTGAGAGGCAGGACACCTATTTTTCGTTACAGACGGACGCGACACTCAGATTGTCGCTATCGACGGACACAACACTCAGATGGTCACTAGAGTCTGGCGCCAATCACTCTGATGGCCGTAAAGTACCTAGGCGATGGTTCCTGTTTCATACTTAATAAATCCACAATTTTTGCATTGGAGACACAGGGAATTATTCTAATATTTATATCTATAAGAGAGAAGATATGTTTGCCCGTTCGAGGTTGGCACTTGTGACCTAGCCTCACACGACTGTCCATGATGAATGGTGCTCGGATGGGGAGTGTCATAGGGTGATTGGGGGTAGATAACTATCCGTCCTGCTAATAGAGCGTCGCATATTGACACATGCTTTACCCATGGCTAAAAATCGTCGAACTAGAAAATGGCAGCGGCTTGCGGAATTGACATACTGTCCCGTTTTCTGTTTTGGGTCCTCTGGTAGATTAGGATAAAGGCACTTTAGTACGACCGTTTCTTGACGTTGGGATACCTTGCGAGGAGGGGCTGCGACCCCCAAAACCCCCCCACCCCGTGTCCGTCTTTATAGCACTGAAGTCACTATTGCGAAAACCAACGATTCCTGTGAATTTTAAAATGTGGGTTTGTTTTTCCATAGAGTGTAATCCAACCGAATTCTTTGCTGCATCAGTTACTTTATTCACTCTCGTGTTTCTGAGGATATCTTCATAGTGCACCCAAAATTTTGCCAGTGCAGGCAGGAATGAATGGCCTTGTACGACTCACTGGAGAGATGGGGATTTCTAGTATCACTGCTACCTTATTCACTCTTGTGTTGATTATATCCTCATAATGCACCCAGAGTCTGCCAGTGCAGACTGCCCATCACATGCCTCTGTATGACTAACCATCCTGGGTGATGGGGATTTTTTAGCATCACGTAGTTAGGTTTTTGACAAACACTGTACTCCCCTTCATAGAGTCTAGAGCAGCTGCACAAATGCACATATACCTAAATGTGTTGATAGGAAAAAACTTATCGAATGGAATCAGATTCGACGTCGATTAAACTTCGATAATGTTGATTCAGTGTTGGTTCAACGGTACCCGAGCATATTTACCCACTGGAAGAGACTGGGAGGGATAACGGGAGAGTGAACGTGAGGGAGGGAGGGAAAGATAGAGAGAAGAAGGGCCTTAAACCCGAACACCGCCGGTTACCTCTTCTAGTCTAAATATAAACAAGTATCCTGCAAGTTTATGTAGAACATAAACTATCTAAAAGCAGCAGTTTGTTATCGACAATACAGTCCCACATCCGCAAAGCTTTGATTTCGTCGAGTTAGACCTTAAAACCCCCCTCTCCCTCTCCTTCTCCTCCCCTCTCCCTCTCCCTCTCCTTCTCCTCCCCTCTCCCTCTCCCTCTCCTCTTTCACTCTCCCCTCCCTTTCCCCCCTGGCCGCCGCCTGGTAAGGGTAAATAGCACCCTCTTCACTATCTACCCGATACACAGAGCCGGGTTCTCTAGATTCACACTTATAAAGGGAACGTAAAAATAGGCTTCTTTAACGACGAGGAAGCTAGAGTAAGCCCTCGGTGACGTGGACGACTGATACGTTGTTCCCGCCATGTACGGTACACCGTGCGATACACCCCAGACGTACGATACACCCCTACCCTCCTCGCTGGTAGGGGAGGGGAGTGGTCACCAGATACACACTGCCGTCTAACGCAACTTCCCCCCAAAAAAAGAACTCGCCTCTCCGGAAACGCACCCTGGCTAAACATTATAGGCATCACCGCTGTTCGCACCACTAAGGGATGGCCGCTGGACGACGCTACGGCAGAGTACATAGTCACCAGGAAGGCCACTTTAAAAACAAAAATCTCCAGTTGTATCACTTAAAAACCTCCATTTGTCTAGAACTCCACTTGTCAAGAGCGCCACTTGTAACAACGCTCCACTTATAACAAACGTTCCATTTGTAACAAACGCTCTACTTGTAACAAAAACTCCACTAGTAACCAACGCTCCACTTGTAACAAACGCTCCACTAGTAACCAACGCTCCACTTGTAACAAACGCTCCACTAGTAACCAACGCTCCACTTGTAACAAACGCTCCACTAGTAACCAACGCTCCACTTGTAACAAACGCTCCACTAGTAACCAACGGTCCACTTGTGACAAACGCTCCACTAGTAACAAACGCTCCACTTGTCACAAACGCTCCACTAGTAACAAACGCTCCACTTGTCACAAACGCTCCACTAGTAACAAACGCTCCACTTGCCACAAACGCTCCACTTGCCAGAGTGTAAACAAACGGTGGACTACGTACTGGGTGGAGCGAGAGAGGGAGGACTGGGAGGTCCGCCAGCAGGTCGTCCAGCGAGGCACTGTGAGATACTCCCCGGTGGTCGGCCAGCCTCGCCCGCTTCCTCGACGCATCAAAATCGTCGACCTTCGCGAATCGTACTCTGAACTTTAGACTTTATCAAAGAATAGAGAAGCATAAAAAAGTTTAATCGGTGCATTGTGGGTGTGTGTGTCATGCCCAGCACTGACTGGGCCGGTGTGGGAGTGTTCTGATCAGGCAGTGTAGGAGAGACGGAAGCACCTGCCACACGTACGATAATTGATGGGTGTTTAATGATTAGTTGACTTCATTTATTGTGAGCTTCATTCCTTAGCTGGGAGCGGTTGTGGATCCCATACCCATCCCATGAGTGGCAGGTGGATCTCATGCCCATCCCATACCCATCCTATGAGATGCAGGTGGATCTCATGCCCATCTCATGAGGGTTAGTGGATCCCATACCCATCCCATGAGTGGCAGGTGGATCTAATGCCCATCCCATACCCATCCTATGAGTGGCAGGTGGCTCTCATGCCCATCTCATGAGGGTTAGTGAATCCCATACCCATCCTGTGAGTGGCAGGTGGATCACCATCCTATGGGCGGTATTGAAAAAGGTTACAGGAGTACATATTCGCCTCTGTGAACCAAGAACCTCATTTAGCTAAGTAAGTTTGGATAAGGTAGTTACGTAGTGTAATGCAAGTATAAACACACTTGTATAGCATAATGGGTTGAAGGACTAATGCGTCACACAATAGACGGATTCCCCAGCTGCGTAATGTTGGTTGTGCGTGACGCAGTCTTACCAACATACGCTGTTGAAGAAATGTACATTTTAAAATTTATTTTGTGTATTTTTTTTATTTGTTTTAGTGAACTGCAAACTAGCCAATATGTATGTACTGTTTTTCCATGGTAAATCAAGCATGACTTTTCATTTGATTTCGAATATAAATCCACACAAATGGCTGCCAACAGCTCAAGATGCAGAATTCTTTCTCTAAGTATTTCTAAACTAGGCCTATAACAATTTTAGTTATATTATTTGTAAGCTGCATCTCTTACGAACCCATCCCTGCCCTTGTGTGGCAGTGCACAGTAGAAAGTTGTATTTACATGTTCGTACATTGAAACGTGTAAACATTCTAATGTAGTTGATTGTAACCATGATATATATGTGCGTCAGCCTACAGTTTAGACCAATTGTCTTGTGTATGACCCTCTGTCCTGTATGACAGTGAATACCAGCATTATCCTCACCCTAATAAGACCTAATTGAATTACTCAGATTAAGCAAAATTGTAATAAATTTTTGTCAGTAAAGATGCTAATAATAATAATAATAATAATAATAATAATAAGATACTTTTACAGAAAACAAAACAAAAATATTGATTGTATGTCAAATTCTGAGAGGGGAAATATCCATGGTTGTGGGAAGTCGATGAGACAGCAAGGTCGCCAGACAAAATCCTCAGATCACGGGAAATTGTGAGGAGTGACTTGGCGTGACCTCTGGGGGCGTGACCTCTGGAGGCGGCCGGGGGGTCAGGAGCCTACAGGCGGACAACGTCGGGTTGAGCTCCCGGGCGCCATGACCTGGTCCTTGGGAACGGTAACGTCACTCTCCTCATCACCCCCCCTCCCCCCCCCCCCGTCTTCTTCCCTCCACTCTTCTCCTTCCCTCACTCCTTCCTTCCTTCCTTCCCCTCTCTCCCACTCTTCCTCCTTCCTTCCCTCTCCTCCCCATCATTCCCCTCCCTCCCATCCCTCTTCCCTCTTCCCCTCCATCTCCCGATTAGTGTAACAATAATACATGAACAACTTTTGATAAAGTGAATTATATAAAACTAAAAAAAAAAAACATGAAAACAGGAAAATCCTCAGAGGAGCGGAAATGCCTGTGACGTCACTACCACTGATGACGTCACTCTTACGTTACGGGAGACAGACAGACAGACAGAAGGGCATTGGGTAGAATCGTCGGCTCACAATCCAGGATCGCGGGTTCGCTCCTCGTGGCAGGACGGAAGCATTTAGGCAACGTTTCCTTTCACCTCATGTGAAAGCATGTACAAATCAGCATGTATATAATATTGGTATTATTATTAGTAGTAGTAGTAGTGATAGGAATGGGGCGCACCACTCCTGTGTCAGGTAAGTCCACTACGGGCTCACCATAGCCCGTGCTACTTGGAACATGTTCCGAGTAGCTGAATCTATAACAACAACAACAGTGATAGGAATATATGAACAGAGGAGACAGCAGAAAGCCTGTTGATCAATGTCAAGCACCTCCTATTAATCTCTAATTACTCTCGACTATATATCTGCCTCTAAATTACTCCTGCAATAATCCAACGTTATCACATTTATTATGGTACCCAACAGCTTTTTCTATTAGTCTACAATCCTAGTTCCAAACCAGTATTTACCCAACTGTTCTCTTAGTCTAACCTGACCCAATATGTACACACCCAACCCCCTTTCTTTAGGGTTCTTTGGGGCGCTGATATATTGTGTTTATCTTATTAATATACCCTCCCTCTCCCCCCCCCCTACTCTTATATCTTTCACTTATATACTTCACTTATATACTTCAGTCATGTCCTCACCCCCACCTTTATCCTTATCTTTCTGAAGAATGTAGGCCTAAGCTTTCTTAATGTTTCTTCAAGTCGGTGTTCCATGCACGGCAGGACTCGACGCACGTAGGTGACCTTTAAGGTGGTGATCAATACAGCAGTGACATCGTGACCCCCGACGCTAGGTTATAATGACTGGGAATATTGCAACCAGTTTAATGATATCCTGCATGAGGCTAAATACCAAGTCATTCGGATATCGGCAAACGCTATATTTAGCATCGGCTCTATACACATGTGGGGACAACTCGCTAGCAGGGTTTTGTTATTTAGTTAACTATTATTAATTATTAATAAATTGAGTATAAATAGTTAAAAACATTATTTTATGGAAAGTGGATTATATGACTTATATTTGTCCCCACTAGTAATTCCGCTCACAGGCCTGGGGGGAGGGGAATTAATTAATTATATGGTGTGCCAAATCATAATTAATTGATTGCTAAATTCAACATTTATATTAACATTTTAATAATGATTTTAGCTAGGCTTAGCTGATTTTGTAGAATGCAGTGTGGTTCACGATAATGGACCCGTCCAGATCACGTAAGATCAGTGTCCTTGTTAACCATGAGTCTAATGGCGTCTTTACGAATCATGTGAAATGCAGTTAAGATGCAACCGGTATTTCCTTTCGCCACAATTTCATCTGCCAAAGGGTTACATTGTAGAAAGACAACAACAACAACATATGACAGATATGTTAATGTTACTAATAACACCTTGTTATTAATCGTCTTATTATTGTTGTTTGACTTTGTCGATAGGACACATTTCCTGTCTCACTTTACAGTACTTTACGGCGGTGGAAGTTCCTTCTTCCTTCACCTTAGGTTTTGGAGAGTTTGGTTTAATGTCTCCACACAGTGCTGTGTGGTGCTGACCTTCGTTACACCTGCTACAGGTGCGTAGTTGGGCCTTACAGGTGCTGGTGGCATGTGATCGTAAGCACCTTAGGTATATATGCAACTCCATGAGTCGCTTGACCCTTGTAGCACAATCAGGATAATTTGGGCAGTGATATATGGAATGTTCTTCATTACAGGACAAACACGTCCCCCCCCCCAGGCTACAGCATGTTTGGGAGTCACCGCCTTGGGTGCCACAGTAACTGTGGGTTTGGAGGGACCCACTGCATACGTGGGTCCCTTGCAGTGCCTTGCTTCCACCTCGGAGTGGAGGTGGTTAACTTGGATTTAATTGGAGTACTTGTCGTTCTCTTTGGTTTCACTGATTTCCTCAATGGATGACTTTTTAAGTGTTAGATTCTATTTTATTGGGAGCTTTCATTCTACTGACAGTCATTCTCATTCCCTCGAAGAGTTCATCTAGGGAACGGGTGGAACTTCATTCCACCCGTAATGATTTCCAGCTGCTGATAATCAACTAGAGGCTTATGTGACAAATTCTTACATTTATTAAGTTGTCTTGTTAGGTGACCTTTAAGTGCTGCTAAAGCACGTTCTGTTTTCTGTGGATCAGCCATGTTGCTTGACTAGTTGTGTTGGGTTGGCCCCTTAACTTCTAAATGGAGATAACTGGGTTATTTGCTCATAGGCGTGAGCAAGAATTAGTAATAATAGCTTAGGGTTATTTTGCCCTGTCACTAGATCAGTCTCCTTGTTGACCATGAGTCTAATGCCAGGCTACTACACCACTGTGGAAGTTAATTTCGTCGTCGAAATTGATTTTCGTCGTTACGAATCATGTGAAATGCAGTTAAGATGCTACCAATATTTCCTTTCGTCCTTTCTTTCACCTGCCAAAGGGTTACATTGTAGAAAGACAACAACAACAACAACAAGTGGCAGATATGACAATAAGAAAGGTGATTAATATCAATAATTGAAGCTTACCCGTTCCGGCTGGCTTGCCATGAGTCATAACCAGTTAACATTAAATAAACATAAATGGCCAAATATAATAATATTATATATATACGTTAACCGGAAGTGAAGACCTTCCCAATGATTAGCGTAGTCGTGCCGATATAATATTATTAGAGAGACTGCGTCGCTGAGCAGCCGTGACTAGCGGGAGGTTCCTTTCTGTGTTCGTGTAAGTGGATTGTCGTGGCAAGACTTGGCGTATAATGGCGTCTCCTTTCCCTCCCAAACGAGGCTCCCCAGGAGCGGTTCTGTTCCTGTCCTCTTAACGGCAATTGGAAGGAGACCGTGATATTATTTGTAAGTTAATTATATCCAATCTTAGAGAATTCTTTATTATTCATTGTGGTCTCCAGACTGGTCTTTTTAAAGATTGTTTATGGTATAAGTTTTTGGGTAAAGTTTAATCAGGTGACGTGGCAATATCTCATTTTCTAAGAGACGCCACGAAATCCATTTTTTTTAACATGGTTAACTAAGGTATTTATGTTGGTATGTACCGAACGTGAAACAGTAATTATTTCTTAGCATATCATGTTAAGGGTTATTAATTGGTGTCGGAATTTCCGACACTAAATATCAGAAGTATATACATGCTCGCAAGCGCTTTGGAATGGGCACAAGTCAAAAGCACTCATCACAGATGGCGTTGTACCATCGGCAATGAAATATGCCGCACACACACACACACACACACACACACACACACACACACACACACACACACACACACACACACACATACATATATATATATATATATATATATATATATATATATATATATATATATATATGTGTGTGTGTGTGTGGCATATATATATAATATCAGGTCTTTAACATTGAGGGCAAGACGTGCTCAGGTCTCTGGCAGTGCCAGAGTCAACCCCGTCTGCCCTGTGCATAGTATTGCTGTACAGTGCTGAA